GCAGAGGGGCGAGAGGAGAGGGGCGAGGCGAGAGGCGAGGCGACAGTTGAGGCGAGACGAGAGGCGAGGCGGTGAATTGGGGCGAAGGGGCAGAGCAGGGCAGAGACAGGGCAGAGACCGGAGCAGGGCAGAGCGGGAGAGGGAAGGAGGAGGCGGAGGAGGGAGGGAGGGAGAAGGAGTGAGAAGGAGAGAGAAGCAGACAGCCGCAGACAGCCGCAGGAGAGGGTCTCGCCTGCGGCGAGAAGCAAAGCGCCGACTCCCCCATTGCGCGCGAGGTGGCCGCCTAGTGCCGACCCCCCCTCGGCTGACCTCGGACCGACCTGAGACTCCTCTCACCCCTCGTGTGGCCGGCCGCCGACGTCTCCCGGAAGGCGACGTGCCTCGCGGTGGGCTCGAACCTGCTCACAGCGACGCCGCTGTCAAGAGACGCGCCGCCTGCCCGCCGCACCGCACGCGTGTACGGCGGCGCAGCCTGCCCGTCCCTCCCGCCCCTGGCTCGGGGTTGGTGTCGGTCGCAGTCCCGCGGCTCAGTATCTTTGCCTGCAGCGAGGCGGGGTGCCGCAGGTGGTCGACTGCACGACCGCTCCTCTCCTCTCCTCTCCCCTCCCCTCCCCTCCCCTCCCCTCCCCTCCCCTCCCCTCCTCTCCTCTCCCCTCCCCTCCCCTCCCCTCCCCTCCCCTCCTCTCCCCTCCCCTCCCCTCCTCTCCCTCTCCTCTCCCTCTCCTCTCTCCTCTCCTCTCCCTCTCCTCTCCCCTCCCCTCCCCTCCTCTCCTCTCCTCTTCCCCCTCCCCTCCTCTCCTCTCCTCTCCTCTCCCCGTCTGCCTGCAGCGAGGCGGGGTGCCGCAGGTGGTCGATGATATGCCGCATCGCGCCGCGCACGCCTCCGTCGAAGCGGGAGAGGTCGCCGTGGAAGAGGTAGCCTGCTGGCCACAGCAGGGCGCGTCGGGAGGTGGCTGCTGATCACAGCGCGCCCGTCAAGGATCGAGAGGCACACTGAGCGGACAGGCTTGCATGGGTTGGTCTACGCTGTGACGGTGCTCGACAGCTGCGAGGGGAGGGGGAAGCTTCTCCTCGGCGTGACGCGTCGGCGGGGCAGGAGCCGGGAAGGCAGAGCCGGGCCGTCCGTGCGAGCTCCGGCGTCGCGACGTGCGGCACCATCACCGCGCGGCGGTAGAGGTCGAAGTAGGGCATCTGGCTTCCGATGTGCGCCCCGTCGCGGTCGACGGTCGCGAGAATGACCTGAAGAGGACGGCTCCACGGAAAGTAAGAGAGACGACTCCATGCCATGTCCCGGCTCGGCAGAGGCGGCGAGGCGCCGGCCCAATCTGCGCGTTGCGCTGGACGAGGGCCTCGGCCAGCTTCCGGCCGACAGTCCCTCTCAGGTCGTAATGCGGCTGGATGAAGAGCCACTTTGCGCGCCGGTCGCTCCACAGCGGATTCGCGAGCAGCGCGCCGAGCAGCGCCTGCATCCGCTCGTGATGCGCCTCGGTGCGGTTGGTGACGCTGCCGAGCACGCGGGAGGTGTACGCCGCGCAGTCGACCACCTGCCACTCGGCCTCGCTGGCCGCTCGGCGCCGCTCCGAGTGCTGCGCGAGGGCGTCGAGGAGACGCATGTCGGAGAGGTACTGCGACCACACGTTCGGCAGCACCGCCTCGAATGACCGGCCCGCGAGCAGCGCAGTAAAGTCCGCGCGCACCGCATCCTCGCCCGCGCCGAGGAGGCGGTGGAGGAAGAAGGAGGGCGAGGGACGGATATCGCGCTCGCGCACCCGCCAGTCCAGCACCGAAGGAGGCTCAAACACGTTCCCCGCGAGCCGCTTTGGGCAACGCGGACCCGCCTGATCAGTCGACCCGCCTGGCGAGTGGCGTGGAGCCATCCGGTCTCACCCGGTCTCACCGGTGTTGGGGCTGTGTCAGCGTTCGTTACCTTCGCGGGAAAAAGAATTCATCGCATGGGTTTTATTTCTTACCCTCGCCGAGGCCTCCGAGCAGGCGTGGGAGGCGATCCTCGCCATGGACGCCGCCAAGCTCGGCAAGGCGCTGTCCGACACGATGGCGGCGTGGGAGGCGATGGCCGGCCGCGCACGCCCGTATCCGCTCCTCCCCTCGGTGCATCTCGGCAAATCCGGTGCTAGGCGATGCTGCCGTACACGACCGACCCGTATCGCGGCAAGGACGCGGCCAAGTCCGAGGAGCTGCATCTCGGCTGTCTGTCTCGGCCACATCGGGGCTCCATCTCGGCAGTAGGACGCGGCCAAGTCCGAGGAGCTGCGCGCTTTCGTCGCGCGGCACGGCTTCCCGCACACAGCGGGCTGCCTCTTCTCGGGCGCAGGCGGCGGCTTCCTGATGGTGGTGAGCGAGGCGTCCGTCGAGGGCGCGATGAAGATGAGGATCAACACGGACCCGGTCGTGCTGCCGTACGGCTCGAGCACGATCGAGGAGGCGCGCAGCGCGCCCAAGGCGGGGCCGCCGCCGAGCAAGCCGCCGTGGGGCGTCGCCACCCCGTGGCATCTCGACGTCGACGGCCGCCCATTCCCCGACAAGGCGCCGGATGCCAGTCAATTTGCCACACAAATGTGGCGCAGCGCTTCCTTTGCCTGTTCTCGCGTAGTCGCCCATGCCAGGAGCTGTCTGCTTTTTGATAGCTGTGTTGAGTGAGGCTTGCAACAGTGACGCGAGGGTCGCCACCGTCGCGGCGGCAGTGGCCGTGGCTTCGGTCGTCGGTGTGGCATTAGGGAGGAGTCTGAGATAAACTGGTGTCCCCTTGAGGTGATAGCGAGACGGAGAGAGACCACAAAATACGTAGCGACCCGAGAGGATATATCAGAACGAGCTTCCAGAGCGAGCAGAGAAAAGGTCACGACCGACCGTGGACCGACTGTAGAGTAGTGCACGCCGGCCAACAATGATAAATGTCTCACTTTGCGAACTCTGGGAAGACCTTCGCCGCCGTCGCACCCGCCTCCTCGTCTGGGAGCACGGGCGTGGTATTCCACTCGAGGAACTCGGCCCTATGCGTGCAGAGTGAAATGGGAAGTGATTTTGCGAGGAGGCAGGCAGCATATGGTCGCCGGAAAGGGGCGGCTGCGGAGTCAGCGCGGTGCCGGCAGGAGGGGTGGCGTGGCGTCAGGAGGAGCGTGGCGGAGCGGTCCGGGCGAAGGGCGGACAGGCTCACCACTCCGCGGCGTGCGCGTAGATCGCGGTGATATCGTCTGTTTCCGCGATGATCCAGCCGTTGACAGACCCGGGAGCGTGGAAACGCTGCATCTTGACGCCAGGGAATGGCGCGCCCGTGCCCAAGAAACACTCGAAAGCCTTCTTCGGACAGCCGGCGCGCATCTTCCACTCCATGACGTAGAAAGGCATGTGTGTATGCGCTGGAGGTACCCCTCACTCCGTCGATGAGAGCCGACCGTCATCCGACGGAATAAAGAAATGCGCATTTCTCACAAAACAGAGGAACAACAAAAATAAACACGTGTTACACCACAAGAATCGCGAAAAAACCCTGCACACACACACACACTCACACTCACACGCTTGCATTAGACAAAGCTAGAATCAGGGCCCCCACCTAAACCACTTCCCGCTCCGCCATGCCCGAGGGCGCTTGCGGCGCAACCGGCCGGATCGCCTCGCCCGTCGTGATCTCCACCTCAACGTCGATCTCCACCTTTGCGATCTCCACATCGCGCTTCGTGGCATCCGGAATGTCGCGCCGCCCGATGCCGTAATTCTGGCACGTTGACCTCCCAGCATGATATGGCGCAAGCGCCGGCGCACAGGTGGTGGCCAGAGTGGCACAGTCCACCGCTGGCGCCGCAGAAGCAGCCGCAGTAGTAGTACAGGAAGAGGAGGATGAACGAGGCCAACAGCCCGATGCCAACGGTCACGAGGTTCAAAAACGCGATGAGGGGGTTCACGGGCGGCGGCGGCGGCGGCGGTGCGGCCGGAGGGAGCGGCGGAGCGAGGGGCGGGAAGGGCGGCGTCGCGGGGTACGCCTCGGCCGCCGCGCACGAGCCTGGGTCGACGATGCGGGCAAACGGCCTCGCGCCGCCGCGCTCCACGCTGCTTGCGTTGTAGCAGCGGGGGTCGATCCTCCTCGCCCCTGCCCACTCGGCGTCAGGCCCTTCCTGGATGAGGAACTGCCCCATCATGCCCAGGTCCTCGTGGTCGAGGATGTGACAGTGGAAGATCTGGCTCCCCGTGAACTTGTCCGTCTGCGAGCGGACCGTCAGAGAGTTGCGCGTGGGCAGCATGAGCGTGTCGTGCCAGTCGCCCGCGCGGAAGTAGTCGGCGAACGCGCCCGTCTTCTTCTCCTCGAAATTCGCGTGGAACGCCCCGCCCGAGTTGCCGGTGGGGAGCGCTGCGGTGGCGTCCGCCAGGACGGGGTCGCCCTGTAGCTGGAACGGGTTCACGTGCAGGTGGAAGGCGTGGAAGTAGAGTCCATGCAGGTCGAGCTCGATTGGCTGTCCGACGGGCGGTTTCGCGTCCACAGAAAACATGCCGTCGAAGATGTGCTTGTTTTTGCTACCCTTGACCAGCGTGTTGCTGTGGCTGCTCTCATTCGACTCGACGTAGTAGTTGGGAGGGGCAAGGCCCGAAATGTCGCTGTTCAGGACTTTCAACCCGAGCGTGACGCCGATCTTGGATAAAGAATAGGCACATGGGAGATCGGGGTGATGCTCCGATAAACCCTCCGGATCTTCGACAAAAGCAGGACATTTCTTTTTTTCAAAGTGCAAGGTGTGAATATGAGGTTTATGATAGGGCTACTACGACGAACTATGCGGCAATCGACTGGGGCGCAGGGCCCCAGCACATCCCGCGCAGAGACCTCGTAGTAGCCCTCCCCGTAACCGACTTTCCCGACTACCAGCGGAAGCTCTCCCTGACGGATCAGTGTGCCGCGCAGTTCGATGGGAAAGACAACTACCATCAGACTGCCGAGTGACTCACCAAATTCGGCATCTTGCGCGTGCACTGGACGCTCGAGTCAATGCACGGCAAAAACATCTGCGATGCGCTGAGCAACCTGCCGTCGACGCGATCACTGAGGCGATCCGGTCGGGCAATTTCATATTCTCCGGCTCTCGCAACGTCGTCCTCTATCTCGCCAAGGCACGAGCGACCCCGGCTGTCGCGAAGTCGTTCAAGGAGGGCTGGTGGGCGATCGAGCGCATCTTCTACGGCTTCTTTCAGCACTCCAAGTTCACCGCCCTTGCCGTCCCCAAGGCTGATGGCTTCAACGGCTCACACGACGTCCACATGTTCGCGGGGGATTGCAAGGATGCGGCCGCCGCGCGGAAGGATGGTCTCCTGACCACGTACGCTAGTATTGAGCCGTGTTATGCTCATCGTGCCGTGCCGTGTAGTGTGCCGTGTGTTGCCGCACGTCACGCGCCCCTCCTGACCCCCGCACCGGCTCCCTGTCACAGGCGCGGTATTCCATGCGCGTGCCCGCCGTGCATCGCTCTTCTTTGGGGGGACTGCGAGATGGTCGCCGTCTTTGGCAGGGTCAAGAAGCAGAAGGCGCCGCGTGCCGCAGGCGAGACGGCCGAGCTGCGGCAGATGGAGTCGCTGGAGGTGTGGGCCGCGTCGCTCAAGGCGAAGCAGCTGGCCGCTGTCCGCGCAAATCGGCGCGAGCAGTCGCTCGAGGGGCTCTACTGGCTGGCGGTGCTCAAGGGGAAGGCGTACACGCTGGCCGAGGACACGGTCGTCAACACCGACACCATCCCCGCGGGCTATCTCGTGGTCAAGGCGCAGTGGCTCAGGCTCGAGCAACGCGAGTGCGAGGGCAAGCTTCGCTCCTACACGCTGCTCGAGGCCGAGACGCTCATCATCGTGAATCACATGGTGCGGCTGGCGGCCCTGCGGATGCGCTTCTCGCCCGGCCCGGGCGGCCCTGCGGACCGCCAGCTGAGGAGCGCGCGCGAGAAGCTCTATATATTGGCCTACAGACGCATTCTCTCGCTCGAGGCGTGCTGCAGTGAAGACTTATTGAGCTTGTTGGAGGCGTCGATTTGTGCAAAAATGTGTGTTAGAGAGCGCCTAGATGGCAAAATTTTCTTCGCCTCCGGCGGGGCCGCTCGCCGCGGGGCTAGAGAGTGACTTTTGTCGATGTTGGCTAGAAGTGCTGCACGTTTTTCAGAATTTCACCCATAGAAAGAGGCAGACGACCACAAGGGTTAGAGGGTGGGCGTGGGCGACGGCTAGCACCACACTCCTCTCCTTAAAATCCCTGTGTGGTGGCGGCGTGCCGTCCTCCCATCCCTCCCTTGGCTTGTCTGTTTTCTTTCTTTCTTTTTATGGGCGACGCGGAAACATACAGAGCTTGCACCCTTTCGCCACTTCTCATCACTGTCCCGGCGCCCACGTCTCGATCTTCTTGGGCAGCAGCTGGTTGGACAGGTCCTCTCCGTGGCCTAGACAGCCGTATTCACCCTCGCCCCAGGTAAAGACGGCGCCGTCAGTGGTGATAGCGAGGCTGTGGTAGCCTCCCGCCGAGGTAGCGACGACGCGCTTGTCCGCCAAGGCCTCGACCTTCTTGGGCAGCAGCTGCTCCTCGTCGTCGCCGTGGCCCAGCTGGCCAAGGAATCCATAGCCCCAGCTCCAGACGGCGCCGTTGGCGGTGAGGGCGAGGCTGTGGTAGCCTCCAACCGACACAGCGAGGACGCGCAGCCCTGCCAAGGCCTCGACCTTCTTCGGCAGCAGCTGGTTCTGCTGGTCGCCGTGGCCCAGCTGGCCAAAGGCTCCACCGCCCCAGCTCCAGAGGGCGCCGTCGGCGGTGAGGGCGAGGCTGTGATCGTTTCCAGCCGACACGGCGAGGACGCGCTGCCCAGCCAACGCCTCGATCTGCTTCGGCAGCAGCTGGTCCTCCTCGTCGCCGTGGCCCAACCCGCCAAACTCTCCAAAGCCCCAGCTCCAGACGGCGCCGTCGGCGGTGAGGGCGAGGCTGTGGTCGTTTCCAGCCGACACAGCGACGACGCGCTGGCCAGCGAAGGCCTCGACCTTCTTGGGCAGCAGCTGGTCCTGCAGGTCGCCGTGGCCCAACTGGCCTTCCCTTCCATAGCCCCAGCTCCAGACAACGCTGTCTGCGGTGAGGGCAAGGCTGTGGTCGCCTCCCGCCACCACAGCGACGACTCGCTGGCCATCAAAAGCCTCGACCTTCTTCGGCTGCGACTGCTCCTCCTCGTCGCCGTGGCCCAACCGGCCATTGCTTTCATCGCCCCAGCTCCAGACGGCGCCGCTGCTGGTGAGGGCGAGGCTGTGGTATCCTCCAGCCGACACGCTCACGGCGCGTTCGCCGCCCAGCGGAGACGCGAGGCGCGTCGGCGCGTTGAGCCGCGTCACGCCCTCGCCGTGGCCGAGGAGGCCTGGGACGTGATCCGGCGGGCAGCCGCACGACGAGAGCCGCCCCTCGCCGTCGATGAAGACGCTGTGATACCCGCCGGCCGCCGCCCTCGCCGGCGGGTTGGACTCGCGCAGCAGCGCCGAATAGCACAGCCACCGCACGGCGCAGCCCTCGCCCTCTGGCTGCGCCGGCAGCACGAAGCCGCGCTCTTGCGCCCACAAGCGGATGCCCTCCACCGCAAGCGAGGCGTGGAAGAGCAGCGAGACGGCCGCGACGCGAGCGATGTCGACGGGGTCGCAGCGAGAGACGACGCGCACGAGGAGGTCCGTGGGGAGGTCGAGGAGGCGGGCGGGCGGCGGCGTGTCTGGCGAGGGAGCGGCGGCGGCGGAGGTGGCGGCGAGGCGCGAGCGGCGGCGCGCGGGGCGGACATCGCAAGAAAAAGAATTCTACAACGCCACCCACTCTCACAGCAGACTGGCACGAACTAGCACCACAAAAGGCACAGCAGACAACGGCCCCTTATGGGCCGTCGAAGAGGCCGTCATACTCCTCCGGCCTCGCCCCCCCTTCCCAACCCTCCCCTGGCTCAGGCTCCTCATCCTCGCGGCGCGCAGTGCGCACCCCGCCCCGCGAAGAAAAAGAAGTCGGCGGGCACGCACGCACGCACACACACACACACCGCACCGCACCCCCACCGCCGATTTTTTTACTTCGTGAGCGAGAATCCAAAGACAACGTGGGTGTCAGAAGAGTCGTCCTTGGCGAGGAGAGCTCGATAAACTCGAGGGGCCAAAATACGCCGCGAGGAGGGCGGAGACCGGAGTTGCGCCGAGAGGCGGGAGAAGCCGCGAGAGCAAGGGGATCGGCAGGCGGCGGCGTCGTCGCAGAACGAGGCAGAGGAGAGCGACGCGACAGCGGTCTCAGACCTAGACCCTATATTCCAGGATGGCATTCTTCGAAATAGGATGGGCGCCGCAGCGGCCCGTAGCGGCGCCCCCTGCGTGCCCCCGGCCACCCCGGGGCCATGGGACACCCCCCTGGCCATCGGGGATGCTTGGTTCATCCATTACCCCATTTATACGGGCTGTGTTGCGGCGCGCCTCGAGACGCGCAGCGCAGCGCAGCGCGCAGAGCCCCAGACCACAAAACAGATCAGAAGACGGCCGTGGCGACACCCGCTCTGGCGACAGCCCCGCAAAAGGCACTCGCTCGCTGGCAAGGACTACGGGTAGCACAGGCGGCAGCAGAGGTGGCGGTCCGGGTCGCAGCGCGCGTAGCAAGTCGGCCCCAGCGTCACGGGCGTCGGGCCAGGAGCCGGCTCGACGAGATCGACGAAGAGGACGGAGAGGAGAGTTTCGTCAGCTGACTGATTGATGATCCTTCTGACAGATTGATTGATTGACAACCTCGATGCATCTCCGAGATTGAAACCGGGAGGGGAATATATCAGAAGGACGGACTGTTGGTCGGTCCGTGATCGCCTTCAAATAAAATAAAAGAACGTCCTCATATCTGCTTTCCGTAAAAGGACAACTCATCAACGCTGTCCGTTCGCTCTGTCCGAGGACTGCCCTTCTTCACCAGCATGGTCGGCCCCTTCAAGATGGCATGCTTCGGCCTTCGCTCGCTTCGCTGGACAACTGCGCGTGTTGAGCGACACTATTCTTCTTGCACAAACTTGCTCGACCTCCCGCTCTGCGTGCTCGAGGAGATTGTCGTTTATGTGATCGCTCCTCTCCAACACGTTGGCACTGAAGCGAAGCTCGAGAGCTTTGCCGACGCGTGCCACGCTCTGCGCGCTCTGCTTCTCACGCACCCCCTCTTCCTCAAAGTGGTGACCAAGGACATCTGGAGGAAAGCGCTGGAGCTGAACTGGCCGCGCGTTCAGACTACTTGGGACCTGATTCCCCGGGACTCGTTTGTCGTCCTGCAGTGGAAGGAGGATGTCTTCTCGCTACGCCAAGCCCGCGGGGACCCTCTTGAGACCGGACCCCCGTGGTCTGCGCCGATTTGCGAGGCACACAAATAGACGCTTGACCTGACGGATCCGGGCTCGCAAATGCCACCTCACGCCCGCACCTGCTCCCGCAGTTCACGCTCACGCAGCGCATCGTCTTCAACGGTGTCTTCCGCACCATCACAAAGACCATCGACTTCCAGCTCTGGTACCGGGCGTCGCTGTTGGAGACCGTCACCGCTGGCGACTGCGGCAAGCTGTACAACATCCGCCCAATCGACCGCGGCATGCTCGAGTTCAAACGCAAGCGCCTCGAAAACGGGCTTGTGTGCAAGCTCTACTTGCGCATGGACGTCCTCAAGGTGGCACGATCGGTCCATTCAAAGAAGCAGGCATCGACGATCTCGATCCTGAAGAAGGTGTGCGCGCAGCTCGGCGTCCCCACGAACGGCACCTACAAAGAGCTCCGCAACCGCATCTCCCTGCACATGATGACCATTTGAGAGGACTGGTCAGGCAACGTCACAGCACAGGGATTGTTGCCTTCTCGCATTTGAGAAGCGTCCGGAAGGCGGGTACACGCCCTCCAGCTTGAAACCTTGTGCTGTGCAAGTGTCCTCGCACCGCTCGGACAGGCGTGTCAACCCACACACTGTGTGCTCTATAAGTGGCTGAAAACTTGATCAATTCGCCCCAGCACCCTCTCGGCCAGACAAAAACCCCGAGAGGCGTGGGTACCGGGTACCTCGCCAGGCTCACTCCTTGCCCGGTCGGTGCGAGGGCGGACAGCTGCTCAAAGTCGATCGGCCTTACACAGGCAGGCGAAGCGATGGGCTGTGGCACGAGCAAGCCGGGCCTGGCCTACAAGCAGAAGCTGAAGCTGTGGCGCAAGCTCGGCGGCGGCGACCTGGAGCGTGTCCTCGCGAGCGGCGCCGCCGCCCTCCTCGACGCGCAGTGGATCATCCGCCACGCCGAGGCGGGCGGCGTCCTCTCCCACCGCCAGGCGCTGCCCAAAGAGGCCTTCCTCTCCCTCGCCGATCTCGTCGAGGCGACCGAGTCATTTGCCTGCCTTCCCGTCGCCGCGCTCTCCTACCCGTGGCTGACCAAGGACCACCCCGACCCGCGCGGAGCCAACCTCTCCCGCGTCGCGAGGGCGCTCAAGGCCCTGCTCACTGACAATCACGGCATTATCACGCGGCTCGGCGTGTTTTGGGATTTCGGCTCGCTGCACCAGCACCCCGACCCCGCCAACGGCGTCCTGCGCACCGAGGAGCAGAACGTGCTCTTCAAGCAGGGGCTGAGCTGCCTCGGCACGCTCTACTCCCACCAGCACACGATCGTGCTGCGGCTGACCTCCTTCCCGGACGGCCACAAGGCGGAGGACCAGGCCGAGGGCACCAACGTGGCCGCGTACTTTGACCGCGGCTGGTGCTTCACGGAGGCCAGCTGGGCGGGCCTGACAAAGGCTGGCAGCCTCTCCCTCGACCTCGGCAAGATGCGCGCCGGCGTGGAGTACAGCTTCCACAGCCTCCGAGCCGACTGCACCCAGGACGGCGGCCGGCGCCCTCCGCTGCTGCCGTCTGCGTTCGCGGCGGAGCTTGAGAAGAAGAGCTTCACCAACGGCAAGGACGACAAGCCGCTGGTGAAGCGGCTGTACGAGGCCGCCTTCACGGAGCAGTTTGGCAAGGCGGCCAAGCTGTTCTACGTCCAGCTCGGCTGGGGCGACGCGGAGGCGGCGCAGCTGGCGGAGGTCCTCGCGAGCGGGGCAGCGCCGCGGCTCGAGACGCTCGGTCTCAGCGAAAACAAGATTGGCGACGAGGGCTGCAAGGCGCTGGCCGCCGCCCTCGGCAAGGAGGGGGCAGTGCCGCGGCTCGAGGAGCTCTATCTCTGCGGCAACAAGATTGGCGACGAGGGCTGCAAGGCGCTGGCCGCCGCCCTCAAGGAGGGGGCCGCCCCGAGCTTGAAGGCGCGAGACGCCTCCCCTCGCCCCACGCCCCGCCCCCGCCCAATGCTCATCGCACCTCCCCTCGCGTGCAGGAGCTCATGGTGGACAACAAGAAGCAGCCTGAGCTGGTGGCCGTGTGCGAGGAGCGCGGCATCAGGCTGGAATGAGCCTCTCCAGCCCCGGCCGGGCGGCGAGGGCGCGGGGCCCGGCGGGACCGCCGCGCGAGCACGGCAGAGAGCGTCAGACCCTGCGGCTGCGGAGCACGACGCACAGCCACGGTGCCGGGCGCGCGGGCGGGCGGGTGGGTGTTGTGAGGAGGGGGGGGAGGGGGGGTTGAGCGGCGTTACGACATACGAGCTTGCAAGTGTGGTGTGTGCGTCGCCTGCTGTGGATGCTTGGACTTTGGAGCACTTGGAGCATTTGGAGTATTTGTGGAGTGCCATTTTCCCAACCTCACATCCAGGGCCGGGGCGAGCTGCGCACCCAGCGAGCCGGATGATCGGTGTCGGGTTACGGCGGCTAGAGAGCCCTAGCCCCGGGGGTCGACGTCAACAGGACGAGTCAGGGGCAAACGACGAAGGTCGAGATTTTTCCTTAGCGCGGACGTTGCTGCCGGCCGCTACTGTTGCACTGTTGCACACTGGGATGGGGTCGGATTCCGCATGCACGGGACCCCTCGATCGTCTCCGCTCTCGCTAACCCTCACTGGCGTGTTCATTCTTCATTCCTGTTACTATCCGTTCTATCCTTCAACACAACAGTAGGGTGCCCACAGGACCCAAAAAAAGAAAGGAAAAAAGAAATCGAGGCACTGGTTCGTTTTTCTTTTCGGTGCCCCCCGAGGTCGAGCGGTATGGTCCGATTACATGTGCGGAGTTAGGCTTAGTTTTTTTCGGATTTTTGTTGAGACGCTGGCGACAAGGTCAAAGCGATTGCCAACCTTCTCCGGCTGAGATGCCAGCCCATGCCAGCGCATCGGTCGGCAACGTGTTGTTTGCGACACTTGTCGCTGCCTCCTTGACGCACGGCATCGGTTCAGTCGGCCACTTCAAAAGCTGGTGGACGCTCTCCGCATTTGGCCAGAACTGGGACGCCGAGGGTTTCTGCATCGCGCACAAGGGCACCGTGTTTGACTCTCACCTCCTTAGCTTGTACGGACAGATTGTTCTCGCGGCGGTCCTCTACGTCGCAGCTAGCAAGTCGTCGGCCACCGGCCGAACCGAGCTCGCCGTGGTGAGTGGACACGCTGAGTCGGTGCTCAGCCATGGTTTCGGACACGGCTTCATCTACCTCATCGCAGATGAGCGCGGGGGTCTATCGCGCGAGCAACCGCTCGTGACAGCGGTGACGCCGCTACTCATTGCCGCCGCACTGCTCTTGATCTCAGTTTTCTTCTTCTGGAACCTCTTGCAGCGCACCAGCTTCCCGCCGTTGCTACGCGCTGCGCAGGCGATCGTCGCCGCGTTCGTCATCCCCACCATGCTCCCCACCATCATGGTTTTTGGCATCACTGGGGCGGTAATCTTTGGCAATCTCCATCTCGATCTGTTGTGTCACGGGCGCGCCAGCGACGGAGCACAGACAGCTCAAACCTCGCGAAATCTCTCGACCTTTCACCCCGTCTCCAATATGTTGCCTGTAGGCTGTGTGGCAACAAGTGTGTGGCGCGCGCCCTTTTTGCATCCATTTTTGCATAAGACGCCCCTCACCCCCGAGCAGATGGCGGAGTACCAGCGCAAGCTGCTGCAGCAGAAGCAGGCCGAGGAGCCCCTGTGGTCGGAGACCGTGCAGGCGCTGGACCGGGAGAAGGCCGCGCACGCGCAGACCCCCGAGGGCGAGCAGGCGGCCGCATACGAGCAGCAGGTGCTGGACGTGCTCGCCCAGACCCACCCCGAGCACCACGCCGCCATGCGCCGCCGCCTCACGCCCGAGCAGGAGCAGGAGCACGCCGAGCTGCTCGCCCTGCGCCGGCGCACGCCCGAGCAGGAGCGGGCCAACGCCAAGGCCGCGGCCGAGATCACCCGCACCGCCGCCCGGATGGCCCAGGCCTCTGATGCCGACAGGGAGCCCGCCAAAATCAGCGTGGCTGGGCCCTACTCTGGCAACGTCCACTGGGACGTCTTCGACGGCCAGCTGATCGAGCAGGCGCTGCAGCACACGCTCCTGATCGACCTCGAGTACCCGGTGCTGCTCGGCCGCCACGGCGGCGTGCTCCCCTGCGGTCTGCAGCACGTGCCGCCCGCCGCCCTCATCACCCCGGCCAACCTGTGGCGAGTCAAGCTGTGGAACAAGAGGCGCACCAAGCAATCGGTTGGGGTTGTGGTGTGGTCGTACCCGTGGCTGGACTGGTTCCACCCGGACCGCAACGGGGCGCAGCTGGGCCGCCTGCTGCCGTTCCTCGAGTCGGTGCTGGCCGAGGCCAAGCGCGACTCGCCGTACTGCACGGTGGCGGTGGTCATTGACTATCAGTGCCTCTTTCAAAAGCCGTTTGCGTCGGAGGCCGAGAAGAGGCTGTTCACCCGGTCGTTGATGAACGTGAACCTGTGGTACTATCACCCGCGCACGTACGTGGTGCTGGTCACGCCCGGGCCGCCCGAGGGGGCCGAGTACGGCAACACGCGGCTGCACAAGCAGAGGGGCTGGTGCTACTTCGAGCTGGCCGCCTCCATGGTGGTCAAGAGGGGTCATTGCCTGCTCGACTTTGGGGGGTACCAGGGGGCGGCCTCCTTCTGCGGCGACGGAGAGGATGGCTACGAACCTCTGCCCAACACGTGCCTGGGCGAGATGGTGGCGGGGCGGCGGCCGCCGATGAGCCCGGCGGTGATGGGGGAGCGGATGCGGGCGGGGGTGGAGGACGGGACGCTGGCGTTCACGGCCAAGGCGGACATGGAGACGGTGATCCAGCAGTACGAGGCGGGGCTGGTCGCAGCCATCAACCGCATCGCCGCGAAGGAGTCGAGCCGCTCCCTCAGCTTCCAGAGACTGGGGTGGGGCGACGCCGAGGCGGCCGAGCTGCGCGAGACGCTCCGGTGGGCGGCGGCGCACTGCGACTTCCCGCGCGGGGAGGTCAAAGTGAAGACCTCCCGCGGCAACCAGATCTCCGACGGGATGAAGGCCGAGCTCAGGAACGACGCGCAGCTCGAGGGCAAGTTCTTTTTGAGACGCCATTCTATTTGTAAGGATGCCATCCTATAATATAGAACGGCCAGGTAGGGCTGAGACCGACAGAGGATGAAGCGACAGGAGAGAGAACGACGATAGAGTGCGGGACGAGACCGCGAGGCGGGCACATGAAGGTTTGCAGCGAGAATCGGCGAGGGATTGCCTCTGGGCCGGCGCGGGGGCCCCAGAGGGTGTCCATGGGGGGGGGGGGTCCCATGGCCCGCCGCAGGCGCCGATTTTTTCGGAAATTTTTTGGCGATTTTTTACTTGTTTTCATATGGGAATTCGGCGTACTTGCGGCCCCATGCTATCACGCCTTGCGACAGCCTGTCGGCGCAGCTGACCGTGCCATGATGCACAATTGATCACCTGCATAGCTCGCGGCCTTAGTTCAAGCATTCAGTGACGACCTGATCGTACGGCCAGTAGGAAGGTGTCCTTCCATCGTGTGCACGCTTCTGGCGCAATGCGCGTCGCCTCGGATTGGCTGCTGGCACTCTCGAGGCTATGCCTACACAGCCTCGCGCGCATGGGCAGTCAAGAGGGACCACGCACCTTCTCAGGACAGCGCCGGTGCCTCTCTCTTGGACCGGCAAACTTGGTGGTATCGTGTCACCAATGTGGGACCAGTGCGGCATCGCGCCATCGACAGCTCTGAACTGCGCCTCACCACTGACCGGGAAGGCCGCCAAGTGGGCCAGCACAGGTCGCACATTGTGGCAGCAGTCAGCAGTCCATGGCTGATAGCTAGAGCAGCAGCGTCAGGGTCGCAGGGTCGGATCGTGTCAAGCCTCTCGCCCGGCCGGCCGCGTGCAGACGTCGGCGTGTCTGCTGTCTGGAGTGATCTGTCGGCGGTCAGTACGACCGATCAGGTCGGAGTTTTCTGATGGTTGGAGGGTCTATCTGTATGTACTCCTCGAGATCTCTCCAAATCTGCCCTCTGATTAACCTAGCTTAATCGGTAAGTCGGTGCTAATAGAGACTAATAGAGCCGGGCCCCGTTTCCGCACTGCGGCGCGGCGCACGGTGCCTCCGGGGGGGCCCGCGCCGGCCCAGAGGGGATTGCGCGAAGAGAGACGTAGGAAAGAGTTTTACAGCAAAACTCCCTCGCGCACGGGACACTGGCTGGGCACGGGACTGGCGCGCACTGGCACTAAACACAGGTACACGCCACCGATAGGAATAGGCAGACGCCCCCAAGGGTGGGCGACGGCTAGCACCACACTCCTCTCCTTAAAATCCCCTGTGAGCGCTGTGTGGTGGCGGCGTGCCGTCCTCCCATCCTCCCTCCCTTGGGTTGTCTGTTTTCTGTTTTCATAGGCTGTCACATACGCGCATACATTGTGCGGTATTTTAAGAATAAGATTACAAAGATGAGCACTCGGGGGGGGCGCGGGGGGCACGGGGGACGCGGCATTCGTCTCTCTTCAGAATCTCTACGACTACGTACCGCAGTGTACGCGCGAAACCGCAGGCTCGAGGCTCGAAGGGGGGGGCGAGGGGGCGTGTGCGCGGGACAGGGAGTCCCAGAGAGAGGAGAGAGTCGAGATACGTCACACTCGTAGACACACACTCACACCACACAAAAAGTTTCATCACTTCTCTCAAAAACGACTTTCCTAGAATCTAGAAATGACTGTCTCCCTCTGCTCTCTCAAACTGAAACTCTCGACTCTCTCTCAAGGGCGGCGCGCACTCGTCTCTCTCGCCCTCTCACTCTGGACACACTGACGGGGGAACAGTTTGCCTCCCAACGGACACACACCTCCAAAGGTTCGCGCACAGAGGTGCAAAGGAGCTGACCCGCCCCCCCGCCCCCCCGGCCCCCATGGTTTCCGGCACCCTTGCCCGCTGGTAACACTCACTGGCTGAAGGCCAGGCAGCGCAGCGCCGCGCCGCGGAAGCTCTCCTGCCACCGCGCGCGGGGTGGGGTGGGGGGGGTGTGAGAGACGCGGGGTGGGGACTGCGGGCCAGAGGAGAGAGGGGAGAGGCAGAGAGGCAGAGAGGAGAGAGAAGAGAGACAGAGAGACAGAGAGGCAGAGAGGCAGAGAGGCAGAGAGGAGAGGCAGAGAGGCAGAGAGGCAGAGGCAGAGAGGCAGAGAGGCAGAGAGGCAGAGAGGCAGAGAGGCAGAGAGGCAGAGAGGCAGAGAGGCAGAGAGGCAGAGAGGCAGAGAGGCAGAGAGGAGAGAGAAGAGAGGCAGAGAGGCAGAGAGGCAGAGAGGCAGAGAGGCAGAGAGGAGAGGCAGAGAGGCAGAGAGGCAGAGGCAGAGAGGCAGAGAGGCAGAGAGGCAGAGAGGAGAGAGAAGAGAGGCAGAGAGGCAGAGAGGCAGAGAGGCAGAAAGGAAAGGGGGGGAGGGGGGGGCGAGAGACAAGAAAGACACGCCTCGAGCGGCGCCAGACACCGGAGACCAAAGAGCCCGCCTCCGGCGGTGTCAAGCCTACAGTGTGCATACACCGGCATCGCGGCGGGGGTACGGTATCGTGCAGTGTATCCAGAGCATCGCGTGAATACACGGGCCGCGCATACAGTGAGTCCGGCCGGATGTGGTCGCACCCGGCGGAGTCCGTGTCCTCTCGAGCGCTGGTTGGGAGGCAAGAGTTTCGTTTCTAGGGCGTCGAGCCCGAGCGCCGCGCCAGCCTTCGCGGGCTCGGCCGGGGCCGCACGCGGCACGAGTGGGGTGTGCGTCGGCGCGTCCGGAGAGACGTACACTGCATTGGCGTCAAAGGCCGTCTCGCGGGCTGGGCTGCCGGCACTCCGCGGCGCCGCGGCCGTGATGCGGAGGGCGTCGACCCACTCCTGCTCGGCCGCGACGAACTGCTTGATGATCGCAGCGCGTTCTTCGTCCATCTCGCCGGCGCCTACCACCGGTGCTGGACGCTGAGGGCGGCAGCACGGCCGCGGTTTGGGCAAGCCTCGCGAATGTCTGCACCGTCGCCCGTCTGCGATGCGATCGCCACGGCGTCCTCCAGGTCGTGCAGCGACCACTCGAGCAGCCGGAGCTCCGAAAGCAGGCACGCGGCAGCCTTGTCCAGCGCCAGCTCATTCTCCGGATCACCCGCGTCCGTCTTGGAGGCTGCCTCGACAGCGCGCTGCCAAGCGCCGAGGGCGATGCCGAGGCTGTCGCGCAGCAGAAAGGCACGGATCTCGGCAACGACGCCCGGCTCACGGCCGCCTGGACCCGGCGCAGGCGCGAACTCCTCGAGCAGAGGGCGAGCGTACATGCCGCTGCCCTGGCCGATCCAGGTCGCAAGATTCTGTGAAGTTGCGGGCCCTATCTATGGCTAAACGGCAAGGGCGGCGCGGCAGCACGGAGGAAGGAGCGACACGGCAAGGAGCGGCGGCACGACGGCAGACCACGGCAGCGAACGGCGGAGCATTGGGCGGCGGGAAAACGGCTGGGCGGGGGCCGGGGGGAGGGTGAGGCGAGGGTGGCGGCGAGTGGATCACGAGGAGGTAGAAGCCTAGAAGGTCGCGCGAACGTGCGAGCGAGCGGCGAGCGAGCGGCTAGGCGGCGGGAGGGTGAGGCGAGGGTGGCGGCGGTGGATCACGAGGAAGTAGAAGGTCGAGCGCGTGCGTGCGAGTCAGTGCTCGCGAGTTTTCTTTCGTGGTGAGCCTGTGTGTGTGCCAGTCCGCGCCAGTCCGCGCCCTTGTCGTGCCAGTGTGCTGTGAGAGAGGCTTGTATCGTAAGAATTCTTTCGTGCGTGCTAAAAATCGCCTGCTTTGACCGGCCTTACCGACAGGCCGCTGCCTTCAATGGCCGAGTACAGGCTCGTCGTGGTCGGCGGTGGCGGCGTGGGCAAGAGCGCGCTCACCATCCAGTTCATCCTCAACCACTTCGTCCAGGAGTATGATCCGACTATCGAGGACTCCTACCGCAAGCAGGTTGTGATCGACGATGAGACATGCCTGCTCGACGTGCTCGACACAGCCGGGCAAGAGGAGTACAGTGCGATGCGCGACCAGTACATGCGAACGGGGCAGGGCTTTGCGCTCGTCTACTCGATCACCTCGCGCGAGTCCTTTGAGGAGCTTCGCGCCTTCCGCAACCAGATCCTCCGCGTCAAGGACCGAGACCAGGTGCACTCGCCTGTTCATGAATGAAATCGCTCAAATCCTGCCCCGTTCGCTCAACCCGCAGAGCTACGAAGCCTTCACACTCAAAGGGGCTGGACCAGGTGCCGATGGTCCTCGTCGGAAACAAGGTTGACCTCGAGGGCAGCCGGGCGGTCTCGCAGGAGGAGGCGAGGGAGCTCGCCATCTCCTTCGGGTGCGCGTGGATGGAGACGTCGGCCAAGTCGCGCGTCCGCGTCGAGGACAGCTTCTTCGCCCTGGTGCGCCCGGGGGGCCGCGCAGCTTGTCGCTCTGAAACTCAATACGCCACGTTGTGATCGAATTTAGGTGCGAGCGGTCCGCCAGGACGAGGAGGCGAGCGCCAAACCCTCGCAGCGCAGGAGGAAGGGAAAAGCGAAGTGCGCCATCATGTAATGTGCGACACGCGGCAGGCGGCAGCAGCCGAGCAGCCCACACGTCGCTCTCGCGCTCTCGGTGTCGACTCTCGGTGAGGGGGATCCGTGGCGGAGGCGAACAGGCGATGGGCGCGATGGAGGGTGCTCTCGCGAAGAGTGCTCGTTGTGCGGCGTCAGTGGGGACCGCCGCGCGTGTATATGTGCGTTGTGCGTGTGCGGTACGTTGGAGGCATGCGGGACACGTCCCCATATTTTGCGCTTCTAGCTCGACGCGACCCGCGCCCGCGCCGCCCTCGCGTTGCGGGAGTGTCAACGGTTCGTCAGTCACTGTCAAGTTGTAAGTCAAGAGAGCATGAAGGGGGTCGAGTGTCAGAGACAGAGTGTGTGCGTGTGTGTGCGCGCGCCCGCGGCGGCACATACACTGCTCTCTGCGAAGAATGATGTCATATTTCACATGATTATGAGGCACGGCGACGCACGGGGCCTTTGCGCTCGCGTGTCCTTTTTCGGCTACTACGCTTTTTATATGCAACTTAAACACACAGTGTTGTTTAAATGCAGGCAGGCCTGCGCCTGGATCCTGGTTCACGCCCACCACCTCGTCTTGCCAGTTGCCTGGCCGGACCGCGGACGCTGGACGCTAGACCTAGTCCTAGAGTGTGTGTGTAGAGTAACGCGTACAGCGTGGAGCTGGAGGCCGGGGGACGTGATTCCTACGATTGCGAGAGGGAGATGGGAGAGGAGGAGCTCCACACCGTACACATCAAAGTGACGCTGGCCGGAGCGCCCACTTCCGCTCCCCCCAAATACTGGCGACGGCCGCTGGAGCGAGGAGCCTCACCGCCCGGAAGGCAAACCGGAGCCACGCTAGCGGCCCGAGCATCCGCAGGGCGCAGATCGTACCCGAAGCGGCGGCGAGTACCTGGCCACACATGAGGACGTCCTGCCCGCAGAGCCAGAGGCCATCGACGGGGCCGCGCATGTCGAGCGCGGCAACCTATGGTGCGCTACATGGCGCCTATGAGCCTGCGGCTTATTGGCGCCAGCCCACAGCGCGCCCAGGCAGCGCTGCCTCGTCCTCGTCGACGAAGCGCGCGGGCGTCACGTCGAGCCCGATCGCGGCGCCCTTGCCAGAGCGCAGATAGTTCTCGATGGTCAGGGGCGTGGAGATATCGACCGCGACGACGCGCCCCTCCTGCGCCATGGCCGGGGAGTCGAGTCCAAGAAAGACGTGGCTGGTGGAGGCGAGCGGCAGGGCCGACGGAGGGAGGGCTCCGGTGGAGAGCGATGGAGTTGGGCGCGCTGCCCACCGTCTGTGGGTAGTGCTTGTGCAGCGCGGCCAGCATCCGCTCCGCCCAACGCGACTTGAGCTGCGCGTACTGCGCCTCGTGCTCTCGGTCGGCGTGCGGCGGCGTGTGTCGGGCGGCGGGCTGATCGCCGAGGGGCTGGTGGCGCTCAAAATGCGACCACTCGGCCAGTGAGTATATTGTAGAGGCCACTCATGTGCACAATATCTTGACTGAGAGCTAAGCCCGGGGAGGCGATGCCGGGGCCGTATAGCAGCTTGATGGTGATTCGCCGGCGTAGAAGCGGCCGCGGCGGGCTCCGGGTGCCTGAAAAGACGGATTTACGTGGGCTGTGGGAGATTTACTGTCGACTCAAACGACACTGTGCCGTGATCCTCTCATATATGGCTAAATAATTGACCGAGCCAAAAAAAAGTTCCACCGCTACGACTGGAGATATATCGAGATTGGGTCTCCAAGACCCTTTTGAAGCGAAAGGGTTAAAGAAAGAAAGAAAGAAAACGCGGCCCTGGAGCTTGCCGGCGCTACAAACATCCTCTGTGTTGACGGCTCCGGGGCAGGCTGCTTCGTGAGGCTGCAGCTTCAAGAGGTCAGTCGAGGGCGTCTGGCCGATCCAGCGGCTCCTCTCTCCGATGTTGTCGCCACTTGGCGGCGTCGGAGGCAGCGGCGGGCTAATAACAACAAGCGCGGGCAGCAGCAGCGGCACCAGCACTGTTTTCGACCCGGATCTCGGCATCCCGCTCTACGCCGTCCGGGAGCACTGGCCGCGAATCCGCACGCGGCTCAACGCGTACCCGGGCGAGGCGCCGCTGCCGGAGCGCTGCCGCGCTGCCGCGCTGCCCAAGAACGAGACGCGGCAAAAGGCGCCCAACGGCGCGATGACGGGCGCCTGCTTCCAGCTCGACCTGCGCGGGCCGGAGGAGACGCAGCCGGTGCTGCCCACCATCTTTGTGCCCGGCTTCCCAAAGGCGGCCACCACCTGGCTGTACGACTGCATGCACGCCGCCTTCCCTCCCGAGATGGTTTGCCCGCCGCAGAGCCGCGACGAGTTTGACGGGAGGCGCTGGTCGATCGCCGGCTGCGGCGGGCGCCGCTTCATGCTTCCCGGCATCGCCTGCCGCGTGGTCGGCGGGTGCGAGCACCGCAAGGAGCTCTTCTTCTACGGCTCCGGGTTCTCCTCCTTCTTCCAAAACGGACTCGCCGGCCTGCATGGCCCGGAGCTGCCGCTCGAGATGTTTCAGCTCAAGGAGGAGTACCCGCAGGTGGCGCTGCGCCGCGCGCAGGTGGGGAAGGAGGACCTGAAAGTGCAGAGGATGGAGACGTTTTGCACCCACCCGAACCACACGCACCTTCCCGCCGGCCGGATGCACCCAAGCTGCTGCGTGGCGAGGACCAGCGACCCGAAGCGGTGGGAGTGCCGGTGGCACGAGACGCTGCGCAAGGCGCAGGGCCGCACTACGTCCATGTGGTTCCAGACAGCGATGCCGTGGGTCAAGCCGCACGAGTACAATTTCGCGGCGACCGATTTCACGCCGAACTACATGTGCACGCCGCAGGCCATGGCCAACATCAAGCTGGCCGCGAAGGATCCGCGCGACTTGCGCTTCATCGTGCTCATGCGAGATCCGATCATGCGCACCTTTTCGGAGTGGTCGATGTTTGCGCTCGGGTGGGGGTGGGACCACGAGCCGGACTTTCTCAAGAAGATGCACGCGCAGATGCGCGCCTTTGAGAGGTGCAACGCGACGCTCTTCCACCGGATCGACCTCGTCAAGGCGCTGCCTGACGACGAGCTCTTCGCGTACATCACGCAGTGCTTCCGCGGAAAGGCGATGGAGTACATCACCAACTCCATCTATCCAGTCTGCGTGCTCGGCGCTCTGCGCTTCTTCCCAAAGGAGCAGTTCCTCTTCCTCCGCTTCGAAGACATGAAGAAGATGCACGCGCCCGGGCTCCTGCGCCTCCTCGCCAACTTTACCGGCCTGCACACCGACGACGAGATCATCGCGCGCTTGCAGGGCGAGCGCCAGTGCGAGATGCTCAACGCCAGGAAGAAGCCGCTCTCGTTTGGCAAGGACAAGCGCACTGTCTCGGCGCGCGCGAACCTGTCCGCCGCCATGGGCGAGTTCGAGGCGTTCTTCCAGCCGTACGACGAGCTGCTCTCCGAGCTGGTGGACCCGAACTTCAAGTGGGGCGCCGACACGCACCGGCTGAGTGCGGACGTGCTGATCGACGCGCCGGGCAGCAAAAAGGGGCGCGGCCGGGGCAAGGGGCTGGGCACGGGGCGCGGCAGCCGTGAGGAGAGGCCGGCCGCGGGCTACAGGAAGGCTATAAAGAGCGCCAAGGCAGAGGCAAAGGCGATGCTGGGCGATGACCTCCAGCTCCTGCGTGGCAAGGCGAGGCTGGCAGCCATCGGGGCGGCCAAGGGCAGGGGGGCGAAGCAGAAAGCTGCTAGTACTAGTACGGGCCAGTTTGTACGATGAGAGAAGGGCCCCTGTGCGCTGTGCGCGCCGTGCGCGCGAGAGAGAGCGTGTGAGCGCTGTCCACGGCGTCTCCGGGTATTTTTTATGGTTTCATTATCTCTCGCCAGTGGACTCACAGAATGACGTGCGCGCCGCAACACACTACGGCTCTTTTAATGATCCGTCCCGCGTCCGGGTCCCCTTCCCGGACCCCGGCGCCTCGAGCGGGCTGGAGCCTGGGGAGGGGCCGCGTGTCCCTCGCACACTTCCACACTCACGCGCCTCGGTCCGTAGTACTGTAGGCAGGGAGTGGAGCAATGAAGCTGCACACTGGGCGCGTGAGAAGGGGGGCCTGCGCCAACTCGGCGGGAGTTTCACGCGTCCCAACGGGAGTTCAGGCTGCAAGATCCACTCCAAGAGGTCCACGCGAAGGCGATTAGGGGGTGGGCATCGAACGCGAGCGGCTCAGGCGCGGGAAACTGATGGTGCGCCCGCGAAGCGGCGTGGACGTGGAGGCGAGGGGCGCCCCAGGAGCCGAGCTCGGCAACGGCCGCTCGCTCGGCATGGCGATGCGTGGGAGCGAGCGAGTGCGAGCGAAGGAGGCCGAGCGCCGCGAGAGGAAGCTCTGCGCGCGGGCAAGGGCAGGCCGCCCGCGGCGCAGGACGGCCACCTTCCACACCATGACGGAGCGCAGGTTGCCACGACTGTCGTACCGCGTCCGCTCCTCGCTGTCCGACGGCCAACGCCCCACCTTCTCGATGCATTGCGGCTGTGCCACGAAGCTATCAGGGTATCTGCATAAGAGCCACAAGGGCTCTGACGCCCGTACAGAGAAGCGCTGGTTTATCTCTGACGGCTTTATTGTGTCCTACGGACGGATGATTGGCTCTGTCTTCGCGAGCACTGGGAAGTGCACCCCGTGCTTGCCCGAACCATCAACACTTACCCATGTTGCCTACCTAACTCCCCCTTTCCTCCCCCCCTCGCCCCGCAGGTTCGATCTGCAAAGCGTCAAGTCCCTCAGCGAGCCAGAGCCGGGGGTGCTCGTGCTTGAGCTGCTGGACAAACCGCACCCAATCCGCGTCTGCATCGTGGAGGACGCGGCCAAGGAGGCCCCAAAGTGGCGGAAGCTATGGGCATCGGCCGTCGATACGACAGCACTTAGCCGAGAGATGGTAGAGTGGAGGGACGAAAGCCTCGCCGCGCTTTTTCGTCCGAATGCACCGAAGCGGTCTCGGGCACCGAAGCCGCAACCGACCAAGGCAGCCAACACGCCAGCACCCAAGCCCGTCGCTATGCCAGCCCCAAAGCCCGCATGGCATCCTCCAGCTGATTTTTCTGTCCATTTTCCAGAGACTACCACTGCGGCTTCCGAGGCACCGGCGGCTAGCACGGCTGCACCCGCAGCCGCTGAGCCATTGGTAGCTGCACCGCCGCCCGCGGCCGCCCTGGGTGACTTAATTAGCGTTGATGATGATGGTGGGGCTGTCCAGAGCAACAGCGAACCACATCCTTCGCCACACTGGTCAAGGTCCGCATACCGCATGCCCAAGGTCATGATGGACCCGTCACTCGATGCAACGCTAAATACGACGCTCGATGCGACGTTCGACGCAACAATGGACGACCTGTCCTCGCGCACGGATAGGGATGCTCCCTCTCACAGAGACCCTGCCTCTCTCTCAGAGGGCAGGCAGCCACGCCTATCCGAGGTTGCCGAGGTGGCCATCAAGGAGGAGCGCGTGGCGGATGCGCTGGCAGCCGCGGAGAACGAGGAGGACAAGCAGGCTGTCAAAGAGGTGGGCCTACTTTGTCCGAGATCACGGGATATCGGACAATGCGCCCCAGCGGCAGTGCTCGCTACTTCTCCACTAGGCGATGCACGCCGCTTATGAGCCTCGGCGTCTCGAGTGGATGGCGTACCACGCCTCCCGAGGGGAGTACACGGAGGCGATCGCTCTCGCGGCCGGTCCGGACGAGGTCGCAAGGCTCGAAGAGGCGCGGAGCAAGGTTCTTGCCGGTGGCAGCGGTGGTCATGGCCTTGCTGTGGGGCTGATGCGGCGCCGTTCGCTCTTGAAATCGCGACCTTGTGCAACAGGCGAGATGGATGAGGCGCATAGCCTACGAGCGGTGCTCCGCGACTCGTGGCAGCGGTGCGTTGGACGGTGCATGCCGCAGGGGCAGGGGCACGTTCCCCTCCTTGAGTCCAGCTGATTCCTTGCGTTTCCCACCGCCCCCGCCCGCGATGATAGCGTCACCCGCTCACTCACAGAGACAGTCTTGCCCTCTTGGGGCCAGTGCTTGAGGTTTGTGTGTGCATGGAGTGCGCGGCTGACGCGCCACCGCGCAGTGACCAGGCGGAGGGTGTGTCGGTCTGCCGACACCGCGACGCGGCGCGGGTGCAGCGCCCACGCACCGACGCAGGCAGCCTCCCAAAGGGACCCGATTTACTAGCCAGAACATCGAGAAAACATCCACAACTCTATCTAGACACGAAGACACACAGCTAGCAAGACAGGAGGGCGGACAGAGAACATGAGTCATGGCATGCAGAGGTCAGAACATCACGATCTGACAGCCGAAACAAAAATTGCGGTGGGCGCTCGGTGCACCGACGCGCTCGACCAATCGAGCTCGTATGTGTGCGAGACAGTGCAGAGGCGCCGACAAGGCGAATGCCCCGACTCCCGAGGGGCACACACGCCCGTCTCCGGCTCATTGCGCACTACTGCGCGAAGACGGGGCCTTGGACCGCTCCAGCACCTCTGCCAGGCTCTGCGGGCGGCCAATCGCCTCCTCCAGCGCCACGACGACCTTCGCAAACTCAGGTCGCGCCCTGCTATCGCTGCTCCAGCCCGCTGCCATCAGCGCCTGTACGTCGCCGGGCCATTTGCCGCTGAGCAGCGGCCGCTTGCCGTTGCGGCACGCATCAGCGAGGAACGTGTCGGGAGTCATCCAGCTGAACGGCTTCTGGTGCGACAGAAAGTGGTAGAGCAGAGAGGTGAAGGAGAAGACCTCCGCCTTGTGTGCAGGGCGAGGCTGCGTGAGGAGACACACCTCGCCGCGAAGAGCCTGACACCCTCCCCACCTTGTGGTTGCATGGCGCTGCCTCTCCCCATCTCTCCCCATCTCTCCTCATCTCTCCTCAGATGGTCGAGTCCCCGAGTGTGGGTTCGAGACGTGTTCACACCAGTGTGCTCGGTCCCGACCCCACAGTGATTTCTTTTTCCAGGGGGGTGGTGCGTACGTCCCAGTATGGATTGGTGGTGCGTGACGGTGATCCATATCCCCCCCCCCCCCCCCACCCACACACCTTGTGGTTGTACGGCTCCTGAAGCGCAACCTCTGGCGCCATGTAGCGCAGCGAGCCGGTGAGGCCGGTGAGCTTGCGCCGCTCGTCGTCGCTCGCGGCAGAGTCAACCTGCAACCGGGCGGCGAGGCTGGTGGAGGGGCTGCGGTGGCCGGGATGTTGAGACGAGGTCGAGAAGCGTTGCGCAGCGGCGAGGGAGGCACATACGCTACTCATGAACCGCCAGTCGCTCTCCCCGTAGGTATGGGCGGCAGTGGCGATGGAGGAGTCCACCAGTGTCGCCGCTCCGGGCGGGTGGCAAGCTGCGACGCTCGCCACGCGCGCGTGCTGGCCCCACGGCATGGAGTGTCGGCGGCGCTGCTGTCTCTCGCCGCCGGAGTGTGCTGCGCGCGCGTGCAGCCCGGCCCGGAGTGCGCGCACCTTCCACAGCTTGCACAGCCCAAAGTCGGCGAGCACGATGCGGCCGTCCGCAAAGCAGCCGATGTTGTCCGGCTTGATGTCGCGGTGCAGCAGCCGGTAGCCGGGCATAAACTCGTCGTGGCAGTAGCGGAGGGCGCGCGCGAGCTGCAGGCCGACGGCGACGCCGCGCGAGACCGGCCACTCGCGGGCGGCCTTGGACGTCTTCCATGGCAGCGCCTGGAAGCAGGGGAGACAGGGGGGGGAGATGTGGGGAGATGTGGGGGGATGTGGGGGGATGTGGGGGGATGCGGGGAGATGTGGGGGGATGTGGGGAGACGTGGGGAGATGTGGGGGGGTGTGGGGGGATGTGGGGGGATGCGGAGAGATGTGGGGAGACGTGGGGAGATGTGGGGAGACGTGGGGAGATGCGGGGAGATGTGGGGGGATGCGGAGAGATGTGGGGAGATGTGGGGAGATGTGGGGAGACGTGGGGAGATGTGGGGGGGTGTGGGGGTGTGTGGGGGGGTGTGGGGGGGTGTGGCGCGGGTGTCGGGCAGGGGCGGGTCGCGCGAGGGAGAGTGGCGGGAGGCTGTGTCGACAAGGGACGTGCTGTCTCTGTGCTGTGCCGTGCTGCGCTGTGCTGTCTCTGTGCTGCGCTGCGCTGTGCTGTGCGCTGTGCTGTCTCTGTGGTGTGCTGCGCTGCGCTGTCTCTGCGCTGCGCTGTGCTGTGCTGTGCGCTGTGCTGTCTCTGTGGTGTGGTGTGCTGCGCTGTGCGCTGTGCATTCTCTGTGCTGCGCTGCGCTGTGCTGTGCGCTGTGCTGTCTCTGTGGTGTGGTGTGGTGTGCGCTGTGCTGTGCATGCGCTCGGCCGGCGAGCGCTCTCCCCATCTCCCCATATCTCCCCATATCTCCCCACGGCTCGCCACGTCCGGCGAGCGCTCTGCAGCTTCCCAGTCTCCCACCGAACCCTCCCGCCACCTTCAGGCTGTGCACTGGGTATCTCCCCCACATCTCCCCATATCTCCCGCCACCTTCAGGCTGTGCACTCTCTCCATATCTCCCCATATCTCCCCATATCTCCCCATATCTCCCGCCACCTTCAGGCTGTGCACTGGGTATCTCCCCCATATCCCCCATATCTCCCCATATCTCCCGCCACCTTCAGGCTGTGTGCACTCTCTGACCCCTCTCGGCCATCCACCGAAAGGCTGTGTGCACTCTCTGACCCCTCTCGGCCATCCAGCCGAAAGCAGCGCGGCTCTGGTGACGTGTCCCTTCGGTGGGCGCGGGGGGGGGCGTGGGCGCTGGTCTATGCCTGTGCTTACAGCGCCCGGTGTGTGCCGCTGCGAGGCAAAAGTGAGGCGGCGGCGACAAGCCACGAGGGGGAGGAGTGAGGAGGAGGAGAATCGGAGGGGGGGGAGAAGAGAAGGGGGGGGGGGGGGGGGCCCAAAAAAAAAAACCCGGAGGGGACCCCGAGGAAAAAAAAATCCCCCCCCCCCCCTTGCCGGGGTTTGATTTAATCGGGAGCAAAAAATTAAAAGGGGGGGCCAAAAAGTCAAAAAAGCCAAAAGGGCCTCCCGGGGCCGGGGCGGAACCTAAGGGAAAAAACCCCCAAAAA